AAAAAAAAAAAAAAAAAAAAAAAAAAAAAACCAGAAATATACTATGCTATGCAGCAAAAATAATCTGAACAACTTTTGCCTCAGGGTCACATCGAAATTCTTTACCATATTTAAAATAAAATTGAAGTTAAAAGTTAAAACATCGTTATTGTTGATGCTTAACCACAACTGGGGTTAAGGTGGATTATCACTTCCAGTGTAATCAGTCAGTTAGGGGATTCTGCTGCACACTGTTGAGGGTTCAGCCTCCTCCTGATGAGTAGGGAGGGGAAACTCCGACGACGAAACAGCCTGTCACAGCCCCCCCCCCCTCGTTTGTCGTCCTCTTCTCCCTCTTGTCCCTCTCTGCCTACGGTTTACCTGGCAGCTCTGCTTGACGATGTACTTTGATTTTGGTTAAGGTGGATTATCACTTATAGTGTAATCAGTGAGGGGATTCTACAGACTGTTGAGGGTTCAGCCTCCTGATGAGTCGGTGAAACTCCGACGAAACAGTTTGTCACAGCCCCTCGTTTGTTGTCCTCTTCTCCCTCCCTCTCTGCCTACGGTTTACCGGGCAGTTCTATTTGACGATATATATGTATGTATATACGTATATATTTGGCCAGGCCGGGCCAGTGGTCCCGGGCCACTTTGGAAGCCTAAAACATAGTGTGTTTGGGCATATTAGCAGCAGCAGGACTCTATCTGCTGAATCTGACCGGAACTGTGGAGAAATGCATTCAAGGAATTTGGAAATTACTTCAAATTATATGAAATTAGTAAATTACCCAATCCGATTTTGTGGTCACTGTCTCTCCAATGCAGGACCTGAGCACGGTTGCAAATGTTCTGAAATAGGCTTTTAGTGTGTGTCGCAGCGCGTACTCCCGGTAGGATTTTATCTGGACGTAATTGCAGTCAGATGCATCCATGGCTGGCCGTGATCGCGGTCACATACGTCCAGCAAAGTCGGTGTGTGAAGGACAACCCCTTCGTCAATTCTTCATTACCGTCTCTCCGGTTTTTCAGCATACTACCAGCCGGAGTTTTCAAGCCATTCAAGTTTGTCGAAATAAATAGTAAATACTAAATAGTGGATACTAAAATGCATTGCGGGTATTTGCGGCAAATGCGCGCTGTACTAGGAGGACTTGCTCTGAAGATTCCAAGCCCTGTGAACCCTCTCTGGCCACAGTATCTTGGTGAGGAGGCTCAGACAAAGTTTGCTGTGGGTGTCACTCACATGGTGGGCTGCTCTTTTGGAGGACAAGGAAGAAAGAGGGACTTGCAGGGTGTTGTATTAAGCAGTAGTGCTCCTCGTGTGCTGTGAAGATCTTGTGGTCTTTGGGATTATGCTACTCTCTATACACTCCAGAGGCTGGACAGAAGATGGGGGATGTCTAGCCTATATCAGCATGGAGTGGTAGAGATGGTGGTGACCTACGTGACACCCTCGGTCGCGTCCGAGGCCGGGCAGCCGAGTTTTTTGCGTGGCCGCTCCACGGCCAGGCAGAGCTGCGTGCCGCCTGCGCATGTTGGCCCCTGGCTCCCCCGCCCAAAAGTAAAAATTAAAAAAAAAGGGGGGCCCTCATATATTTTGTTTTTTCTACTTTTTAGAAGGGTTTTAGAAAAGGTGTAACGCCCCCCAAATCTCGAATTTGAAATTGTGGGGGGGGGGAATATCTGTTGCGCACCCCGGATTTGGCAAAAAGTGCCAAAAACAATTTTCTTTTTTTTTGAGGCGCTCTCTCTCTCTCTCTCTCTCTCTCTCTCTCTCTCTCTCTCTCTCTCTCTCTCTCTCTCTCTCTCTCTCTCTCTCT